CATTTAAAGCCATTATCGGCCGATTCCGATATCAGTCCGATAATAAAAAAAAATTGAACATCATTGAAAATGAACATTTGAGCATAGAACTTTTTATGCACACAATCATCTGATAAATTGGATGTTGCTTTAAATCAGGAGTGTCCGATCAGAAGAGAAGCGCAGCGGCAGTGGATCTCGTAACTGGGGCTCGATGAGAGACCATATGAGGTGACGTTTCACTTTTTATATTGTCCGATTGGAATTATTTTCTCACTTTGCTTTTACCCCCCACCCCCCCAAATCATAAAATAGTTGTCATTTTCCTTCTGTCCTGTAGTGAAATTGAAGAGGGGTCACCTAGTGAAGAGGTCGCTGAAAATGAGGAGACCCAAGAGGCAGTTGAGACTGATGGCGAAAACAGGTCCGTTTCTCACAGCTGCAGGAAATATCTTGTAACGCAGATGATGCTTGACCGTGAATATGGTTATTTGATGACTATGAATTTGAGCTTCCTTTTATAGATCATAATGGATGTAAATGTACAATTGCTCCTCTTTCAGACCATCTGAGACCGAGGAAGTGATTGAGCTTGCCCTCGAGATGACACTGGATGAGTGGAAAGCCCAACAGGAGCAAAGCAGGCCTAAGGTGGAGCTGAATATCCGTAAGGCAGACACCTCTGTGCTGTCCAAGGCCGTGGTCATCCATAAGTCCAAATTCCTTCAGGTGAGGAGTCTCATTCTTAGCACTTAGAGCCTGTTGGATACAAATTCACTCTTATAACGGCTGTTCTTGTTCTAGAAACATCATAATGGCTTGGATGAAGAGGATGTGGTTTTCCGCCGCCCGGCCAATGACATCACTTGTCAACTGGAGATCAACTTTGGCAGCCTGGCTCGGCCCTCTCGTGGTGGGAGGGGAGGACGAGGTGGTCGTGGCCGTGGGGCTCCATCCATGCCATCCCAAAGATCTCCACAAAAACTTGAATCTGTAAGTTAGTTGTCTTGGTTGCATCATAAATTGCCCATGCCCAGACAACACAGTGTTGTGAAATGCAAGAGTTTTAGTTCAAGGCACTTTACAAGCCAGGTGGGTGTTCATGCTGTGTGAGAAACAGTGCCTGTGGTGGTTTGAGGCTAAATCATGTTTTGGTGTTTCCTAAGGCTCCAAACCCAGATGATCCAGAAGATTTCCCTGCACTGGCCTAGAGCTCCTCTGGAGGTATAGAGTGAGGATCAAACTGTTCTGCAACCCATGTTGGTAACTCTGAAATGGGCAATGTGCACTTAAAATGAACAAAAATAAAGCATGCATAAAGTTGGTCCTTTGCAGTTGTCATCGTGTATAGTTCTGTAATTTTTGCACTTGTTTGGGTTTACTATTTTAAGAGGATGGAGCAGTAGTTCGTTCTAAAATAAAGCATGCTGTTAAAGGCATATTGACGCTGAGTGAATACTTTGCCTAAATACGTTAAGGATATTAAAATATAGACTTGCATTTCTGCAATTGCGTGATTAGCCAGAAGATTTACGGGGTGTTAAGCAAGGTGACCGTGACTTTGAACTGAACTGTAATATGAATTAAACTCTGGGCTGGTTTTATCTCACTATTTGCATCGATTTGATGCAAAAATAAAATTTATGCATGCCCTATTCTTCAAAAGTTAGGGGTCTGCAAACCTCTCACTTTGCAAAGGACACATTAATGCTGTTCTTTTGAACATTTCATCCTAGAATCCTGATGGTATCAGTTTCCACAAAGCAAATCGTTAGTTTGTTTCTTGTGAAGCAAATCGTAATAATGAAGGATTGTGTGACTGAAGACTGGAGTGATGGCTGCTGGAAATTTAATTTTGCCATCAAGGAAATTATATTAAATATAAACTTGCATTAAGATATATTAAAATCAATTACACAACGGTGGTGTTTTTACCATATTGAGCAAATAAATGCAGCCTTAGTGAGCAAAATATTAAAGATCTTCCAGACCCCAAACTTCTGAATGGTATG